GGGGCCTTAGGTCTGCACAGCCACTGACCCCTGAGCCTTCTAATACTTAAACCCAAGCCCCCACCTCCACTCTGCTCCCTCACTCGCCCTTCACTGGCTGGCCCCATGACAGCTGCTGCAGCTCAGAGCAGAATCTGGGGTTGCTCTCCTGACCTCCCCACTACCCATCTTCAAAACGTGTTGATCCTCCATCCAAACTCCACCCACAGCCCGAATACTTCCCTGTGCATTCCCTGGTCACCACCCTGTCACCCTCTGCCAGGAACAGCTCAGTCCTTTCACAGGCCCCAGATTCTGCCCATGTCCACCCCGAGTGGCCAGAGGGGCCTGAGAGTATCTGTTCAGTTCTCCATCCTCTTCAACAGGGAACCCTCTAACCATTTCCTATTAAAGAGACAGGTCAGCCATTCCCCAACCTGTGTGCCTGCCTCCTAGTGACCATGAGGACTACATTTCCCAGCATTCCTTGCAGTTAGTGTGGCCATGCAGGTGAACCCTGACCCTTAGAATGTGAGTGGACTTGATCTCCTTTGGAGGATTTTTCTGCCTGGTCCCATCAGACAGACAGGGAGACAGAGGGCCACAGGATGGAAGACAGCTGGCAGGTTGAGTGTGTGTGTGTGTGAGAGAAAGAGAGAAAGGTATAGAGAGAAAACACGCATTGGCTCACTAATGCTCTGCCCAGCTCACTAGCCATGTTCTCACTGGGTCCTATATTGCCCGTCCACTCCTTTCTACCCCAGCCTCACAGGCCAGGGACCATTCCTTGCAGACAGTAGGCAGGTGGCTGGCCTCCTGCCTCCGCCCTTCCAGCCCTTCTGCAGAAGGGTATCTGCTAGTGTAGGTCTCCTCGAGCACCCTCCCTGCTTTGTCCCCCCAGGACAGTCTCTATGCTCGCTGGCCGTGGTCCATCAGACCCTCCCTAGATGAAGGTCCGGGGCACCTATGCCAGACCCGGGAGAACATGGGGACAGGGCAAGTAAAGGTGCCCTTCAGCTACACTCTGGTGACACGGCTGGGCCCCTGTGGTGTGGGAGGAGAGGACATGTCCTCTGCCACTAAGGGTCGCATTAAGACCGCAGGCTCCAGTGCCAGCCCGCCAGGGGCTGAATCTGGGTGTCCATAGCCCGCTGTGTGACGAGGGTGCCGTACTTAACCTCTCTGGACCTGGTGCCTTGTCTGACAAACCAGGATCGATGGTTGTACCTCCCTCAGGGAGCATGTGGGGTGTCTCTTGAGTAGAGAGCTGCACAGGGTTTGGGACAGGATGGGCAGCAGGCAGCACCCCACCCCAGGCCCCCATCCTTCCTGTCAGTATTAGCAGCCTGCCTCCTGGCAGGAGGTGGCCATGAGATGGCTATCAACTCACAGCCTGGGGACTGAGGCCCCTGGCCACCTGAGGGGCCCGAGCCAGTTGGGGGCAGGCTGGTATGTGTCGGGTCCATCAGGGCCAACACTGACCTTCTCCACAGAAGATGGTGGTGATGACCAGGCAGTGCATGCTGGGAGGAGTCCTGGGCCCTGGATGCAGCTGCCAAATGGTGCTGCCTGAGGAGCTGGGGCTGGGATGCGAGGGGCTGCGGCACAGATGGGTGCCCACAGCTACCTGCAGGGCTGGCTGACTGGCACTCATGTCTGAGAGCCTGGCTCTGGCCACCCAGTCAGGCTGGGCTTCCTTGGGAGCCACCCTGTGCCAGCCGGACTGCCACCAGATGTTTGGTCATGCTTCTCCCGGGTCCTGGGTCTCCCTGTGTGCCAAGTAGAGTGACTGACTGCCTTGTCTTCTGGGCAGTGGAGCAGTGCTCAGGGAGGTTGGGGGTAGAGCCTGGAGTGGAGCCCACTGAGGGGGACAGTGGCAGGAAGGAGGGCTGGCCCTTGGCAAGGGTCTCCCCCCTCGCCAGAACACCTCTCGCCCACGGCTTCCCCTCCACCAGCTGGGATGCCACCTGCTCCGAGAGGCCTGCCAGCTCGGGGCTCAGTCCCAGGGATGGACCCCGCCCTCAGTGCCGGCAGGAGGCCTGGCAGCAGACCCCTCTCTGCTTACAGTTGGTGCCAAGCCCCTCCCCAGTCCCCTCCAGGCCCTAGCAGGCTGTGGGTGGTCAAGGTGGGATGGGGGAGAGACTGACAGGAGGGGGCGTGGGGAGGGGAAAGGAAGGAGATGGGGCAGGGGGGGCCCCGGGGGGGGGCACAGGAAGAAGGAGGGCTCTGGAGAGAGAGCACAAGGAGGAGACTGGGGGCTGGGGGACAGGAGGGGGACAGGGACTTTGGAAAGAGAGAGGGAGTAAGAGAATGAGACGGGGAAGGGGAGAACCCAAAAAGCCAGGGCAGAGAAGAAGGCAGCCAATGGCTGGTTTGGGCACAAGCGGGCCTCCTGCTCCGTGCCTCAGTTACCCTGTCAGACAGCGAGGGGGACACAGGTCTGTTAGGTCTCAGCAGCACTCAGCCTGGGCCCCACAGCCAGGGCCGGGCCACCTCTGGGGCTGGCAGGGGCTGCAGTGGCCAGCACCACCCGTCCCTCACCCCACCGCCCACCTGTGTCGCTGTCGGGGTCTGAGTCGCTGAGTGGCTTCAGGGGAGCGTGCAGGTCTTGGAAGTAGCGGTGGCCGGCCTCACACTGCCACACGGCGGTAGTGTACAGGCCGAAGGTGGGGTCCAGCTCAGTGAGGTGTGGCTCGTACGGACAGCGGTGCTTGTGGTCCTCGTACCAGATCACCACGTTCTTCAGGCAGTTCACGTTGCGCCGCCGCCCTGCAGACGTGGTGGGGAGAGCAGGTGCTGAGGGGGTGGGGCTTGGTCCCCTGGGTTCCCAGAACTCCCTGGGCCTTATGGGCCCCTCTGGGTTGAAACGCCCTACTCAGCCTGTCTAGGTCCGTTCCAGGTACCAGATGAGGTACGTGAGGCTCAGAGAGGTGAGAGGCATGGTGGCGGAGTGAGGTTTCTTCTACCCGTGTCTCTCTAACTCCCACCACGACTGGGTGGACTGTGCAAACAGGAGGTGTGAACACTAACAGAGGGTACTACTGGTCAGCTTCAGTCACCACATAAGGATGAGCCATGTTGGAAGCAGGAGTAGAGAGAAAGTCTCGGGTCACTGGAAGTAGACCATGTTTGAGATCTCCGTCTGAAGGGGCGGAGGCTGCTGCATGGAGACCAGGGGACAGAGCAGGAGCCAGACAAGACTAGAGGCTGAGACAAGGAGGCCGCGAGACAGACGGGGGAGTAGCCAAGACTGTGAGGCAGAGCCGCGGGCCGGCTTCCTGCCCTCAGAGGCAGAAGCCAAGGGACCAAGTGGCTGAGAGGCTGAGGACCTGAGAGACAGACAGACAGACTAGGCTGCTAGTTGAAAAGATACATTGCTGGGATCAATAACTGTATCCTAACTGGTTACAGACCCTAACTTGTGATAACTTGTTAATTTCCCTAATAAGCCTCATAGTTGTGAGTTTTGTCTGTGAGTTGCGTGTGACCATTACAACTAATTATGAAACCCCACAGAAGAGTGGTGTGGGAGGAATAGGTAAAGAAGGGAAGGTGGGGGCATGGCTGACCCCTGCCTCATGGCGATAAAGAAGCCAGAAGGGCTCAGATATGGCCCCCACCATCTTTACTGCCAACCCTCTTGGAATGAATGCTGGGCCAGGGGTTGCCCTCTCTGGAGGAGTTGGCAGATGAATCGGAGTATCTGGCACACAGTGGATGCACAGCTGTGCCAGCATGTCGCTCCTACTGTAGTCATCCTCGCCATGCCTCCCCAGCGCCCACCCTCCTGTCCTTCCTCCCCAAAGCAGCCAGAGGGCACCTGAGGACACTGGAGTTGGGGCACAGCTTCTATCTCAGAACAAATGCCTGAGTCTTCACGGTGAATTCATGACCTGGCATTTCCTGCCTCCCTGTTCTCCTGGCCTCCGTTGCTGTCCCAGAGGGCCGGAACAGCTGGCAGCCTGGGCTGAGGGTCCGTGACCCAGAATCCAGAGGATGGTGGCCACCCTCCCGGGCCTGGGGCGCAGGGCCAGTGCTCAGGTGGCGTTAGAGCTCAGAGGGTTATTTTCATATAGCCAGGAGAGCTAATGTGATTTGTTCGGCTGGGTTTAGGGACTGCTAGGTGTCGCTGTCCCATCTCCTCCTTCACTTTCTCCCATCTGTACCAGAAATGGCTGCTCCCAACCGTCTGCTGCCACACACACACACACACACCACCCCCAATGGAAATGGCTAACTTGTCTAGTCTTTACAGGTTCACAGATTACAAATCGTTTTGTCCTGGGATGAAATACATTTGAAATCTCACCCATAATTGCCATGGCCGATTCAGACCATAAGGTATGAGACTGAGAGTTGCCGTAGGACTTTTGGGACGAAGTGATGGGTTGGACGGAGCCCTGGTGTCGCAGCAGTTCCGTGTTGGGCTGCTAAGAGCGTGGCCAGCAGTTCCGAACCAGCGGTCATTTCTCAGGAGAAAGACAGGGCTTTCTGTTCCCTAAAGAGTTCCCGTCTCAGAAACTGTCAGGGACAGTTCTACCCTGTTCTTAAAGGGCCACTGCTGAGTTGGGATCCACCTGATGGCAGAGGTTTCTCCTTTTGTTTTGGTGATGGGAGAATGTGTCTTGCATTATGAGGGGCCAAGGGATGGACTGTTATGGGTGGATTGTGTCCCCTCAAAATTTATGTCTTTTTAAAAAAATCTGTGTCTTAAACCCTAACTTCTAGGTTTGCGGTTACGATCCCCTCCCTTTGGGAACGGGTTGTCTTTGTGACGTTCAGGAGGCGGGATTAGGGTCGGCTGCATTTTCAAATCACTCTCTCCTGAGATGTAAGCGATTCCTCCAGCCAAGTGAGGAGGAAAGGTGACAGGTCACCAGAAGAGAGGAGCTGACGCCCAGAGAGGACAGAGAGAGGTCCCCCCCCTGCCTCCTCCCCCCCTTCACTGGTGCGCAGAGGACCGGGTTGATTAGTCACCCCCTGGTGGCATTCCTGTGAGAGCCACTTTCCGTCTCCCAGCACACTGGTCTCCTTGCTGCTCCCGGAGCATGGCAGGTGGGGTCCTGCTCCAGCGCCTTTGCCAGGCTGTGCCCGCTTCCCGGCTGAGTCAGCCTGCTGCTCCTCCCCCACCTCTACACTCCACCTGACCCGACTGCCCCTTTTCTCCTGCTAGCGGCATCTCCATCACCCCACTGAGGTGGCTTGTCAGGTCCCAGCTGTCCCCTCCCCCCAGGGAGCATCTCTGGGCAGACAGACCACCTGGGTCTGAGGCTTGGCTCTGCAGTGGAGCAGATGTACAGCCCAGGGCTGGGACACTGCCTCACTGGGCTGGGATCCTTTGTGTGTGAGATGGTGGGGGACAGGGGGCATCTAGAGCCCTGGCACAGTGCTTACGGGCTGGGTTGCTGAATGTAAGGTCAGCAGTTTGAAACCACCAGCCGCTCTATAAAGCGTGAACATCTCAGAAACTCACAGGTCAGGTCTACCCTGTCCTATAGGCTCACAATGAGTCTGCATCAACTCCATGGCAGTGAGATTGAGTTTTGGAGGACCCTCGTGCCAGGTCCCTCCTCTGGATCCCTCAAGGCCCGCTCTCCATGCTGGTGGGCCTGTCTTGTTCCCCCAGAGAAGGCTGGGCTCCTGTTCCAGCACCTGGGAGCCCTCTGCAAAGTACACAGACGGACAGTGAACCAAGGGGCGGGGGCCCCGTGCCCGGGGCTGCAGGTCCACTTACTTTTCTTCCGCTTTGGTTTTTTGGGGACTTGTTCCCAAGGCTTCCTGCAACAGAGAGAGGCAGTGAGGGGTCAGTGTGGGGCCAGACCTGGGGCCTCCTGACGGAGGGTCGGCAGGAGTAGTGATGGCAGGAATGCCTGCCGTCTGTCCAGACCCAGGGTGGGAGTGACTGGCGGTGGGGCGTGGGCTCCAGCAGCGTGTCAGTCGTGCACATCAGCCCTTGGAGGGGGCACCACCAGCCAGCTCACAGGCCAGGGCACGGGTGCAGAAAGGGTCAGGCCCCAAGGTCAGAGAACAGAGAAGTTAGTAATGAGGCTAGGAGGGGGGTATGTGGTGTGCACGGCTCTCAGAGGGCCACCTTCCACCCCCCTTGGGGTGCCCTATGGCTCCAAAGGGCTTGTGTGCCCGTGACACTGAGTTAATCACGTGAGAGGTAATTGGAAAGGGCTTGATATGCTCACAAAGCCTTTAAAAGGGGGCGGAGGAAGCCAGCCGTTCGAAGCGGAGAACATAAGGGGTCCTTCAAGGGCATCACGTGGCAAAGCCCCCAGTTCTACACCTGGAAGGAGATGAACTCTGCCAGCACCCCCATGGAGCTTGCAAGTGGCCCTCTCCGGCTCCTTGCGTTCCTGGGCTGAGGACACCGCCAGGCAATTTCTTGAGGCCAGCCCTGGGAGACCCTGGGCAGAAAAAGGCCCCAGCTAACGTGCACTGGCAGTGACCTCTGATTGAGCAGCATGGACCCTGGTCCCCCTGTGTCTCTGGTTCGCCCTTCACCTTGAAGTTCATGCCTATCTCCATGGACTTGGTTTACACCTCCTGAGCGGACATCCTTCCAGGGATAAGACAACGATCAAGAATGAAACACAGTTCTCCCTCTGGCCATGGCTGCCCCCCATTGGAGTTCAGGTGTTTGCCACACAGTCTGGCAACCCCCAAGGCCTACAGGGAGGACCAGCTCGAGCCGAGCCAAATCAAGCTTTGCAAATATCACTTTTATCAAAGGAACTCTAGGCGAGTGGTCTTCAACCCCAGCTGCACGTCCAGAGTTCCATGGGGGCTTTTCATCAAACACACAAGCAGGATCTGCAGAGCCTACAGATGGCGCAACACCACTTTCACAGAGTTGCTGGACAAGCCCAGGGACCATTACTGAGCATTTTGATCAGAAAGTCCACCCGAGAATCTTGATTTAAAGGGGGAAAATGCATAACAGACTTTTAAATGGTCAAGGGCTGTACTTTCTGGAGTACTGGAGGCTGGATGAACCGGTGAGATTAAGAAACCCTGAGGTCATCTTTAAACCTTAATCCAAAGATCTCTCCTATCTTCTTAAAAGCAAACAACAGTTCCATGTAACTAGTAAAAGAGATGTCTGCCATGAGCATGAAGCTCCTTGAAGATCTAGCTACATGGCATCCAGAGGAGCCCTGGTGGGAGAGTGGCTACACTGCAAGGTCAGCAGTTTGATCTCACCAGCTGCTCCCAGGGAGAAAGATGAGGCTTTATACTCCCCATAAAGATTTACAGCCTCAGAAATCCACAGGGCAGTTCTACTTGTGTGCCCTGCTGTGTTGTTATGGGTTGGAATAGGCCTGGTGGCAGTGAGATTTGGAATTCCTATAACATCAAGTCAGCACTTGATAGTCGGTTGTCGTGCTGTGGCGAGACTGGAAGCTCTGTCACTGATTGTCAAATGCCAGCAGGATCACCCAAAGTGAGCAGGTGTCCGTGGAGTTTCCGGACTAGGAACAGACTCTGAAGAAGGGAGAGACTGTCCACTTCCCAGCCATGAGCTTCTCGAACCTTACTGATAGCATCAAACAGTGTCAGAGAGTGCCAGGTCATGAGGCCCTCGGGTCAGAGCATTTATAATGGCTGAAGAAGAGCTGCCTTCTCAAAGTGGAGTTGACCGTGATGATGGGGATGGAGGAAAGTCTGAGGAAATAAAGCCTCTGGAACCTTCGTTTGCTGATGGGCATGGCTCAAGATGAAAAGAAATGATTGTGAACATCTGCTAGTAATAAGAACCTGGAATATACAAAGTATGAATATAGGAAAACTGACGTCATCAAAAACGAAAGGGAACACAAAGGTTGATATTGTAGGTGTTAGTAAGCTGAAATGCATTGCTATTGGTCACTTTGAATCAGGGAAATCACATGGCTTTCTGTTCCGGGAATGACACAACTAAGAGGAATGGTGTTGCACACGGTCAAAAAGGGCATTTCAAGGTCAATCTTAAAAGCACAATGCTGTTGTGATAGGATAATGTCTCTCTACCTTTAAGGAAATCCAATCAATACAACTATTATTCAAATTTATGAACCAACCATTAAAGCTAGTGATGCAGAAACGGAAGAATCCCACTGACGACTTCAGTTGGAGATTGATCAGACATGCAATCAAGATGCAATGATAATTATTGGTAACGAATGCAAAAGCTGGAAACAAAGAGGAAGAAACAGAAGTTGGAAAATATGGCCTTGGTGATAGAAACAAAATTAGAGATCACATGACAGAATTTTGCAGTATCAACAACTTGTTCATTGCAAGTATCTGTTTTCAACAATCCAGATGGAATACGCAGAAACCAAATTGTCTTCAGCTGCAGGAAGAAAAGATGGAGAAGCTCAATGTCACAGCTAAAACCAGGTCAGGGGCTGACTGTGGACTAGACCATCAATTGCTCATATGTAAGTGCAGGTTAAAGCTGAAGAAAATTAAAACATGTCCAAGAGAGCCAAAATATGACCTTGCGTCTATCTCACCTGAATTTCCAGAGCATCTTAAGTAACAGATTTGTTGCACTGAACACTAATGACAGAAGACCTGGTGAGTTGTGGGAGGACATCAAGAACATCATTTAGGAAGAGAGCAAAGGTCATTTAAAAACAAGAAAGGAAGAAAAGATTAAAGCGAATGTCAGATAATCGCTGAAGACAAAGTGGGTGCATAAGCAAATGTGGTGAAGAAAGCTGATGGTGCCTGGCTATCAAAGGTTTAGCGTCTGGGGTCTTAAAGGCTTGTAGTTAAACAAGCAGCTATCTAGCAGGGAAGCAACAAAGTCCACATGGAAGAGGTATCAAAAGTTCAAAAAACATACAACTAAATCGATATGAAGGGGAGTGGATAGAGTGGAGACCCAAAGTCCACCAGCGAGACAACTGGACAGTCCCTCTCAGAAGGGCCACATGGAACAGATGATAAACCCAGGGTGCGGTACAACACTGATGAATGACAAAACTATCCTCTAGTCCTTTAAGATTTCTTCCCCTTACTATTAAGGTCTTCATGTGCTATGCCTAATCATGTCAGATTTGCATGTGCTCATTTGTATATTTAAGATTGCTTGGTCCATGGTGGTGAAGATGACCCCTCAGAGACAATGACAGGAGTAGTGGTTCCCTGAGAATATGGGAAGTGAGAGTGGGGAAATGGGGAGGAAAGGGCAGTTGATAGCACTGATGATTGTATAACCCCACCTGATGGATTGAACAACAGAACTGTTGTGAATGGATATATTTAGATGAGTAAGGTATGTCCAGAAACATATTTTTCCCATAAAAATATTATTTAAAAAATAAAGTGGGCCGGCGCCGTG